GAGAGAGAGAGAGAGAGAGAGAGAGAGAGAGAGAGAGAGAGAGAGAGAGAGAGAGAGAGAGAGAGAGAGAGAGAGAGAGAGAGAGGCAGACTGAGCCAAGTCAGAGAGAGAAGGAAGGCGAGAGAGAGAAAGTGAGAGGGAAGAGAGAGAAGCCATAGCCGCCACCTGATTGAGACCCGTCGTGTGTGTGTGGGTGTGTGGCAGAGCCGCTGGGGACTAACATTCTTGTATATCAATAATAATATAGGAGACGACATCTTCAAGAGTTGGCTTCTCACGTGTGATCTCTCGTGCGAATGTTCATTGATGTATGCGAGTTTGAACTTGACGAGTACTTGGCTCATTTCAGAAGTACTGATCAGAAACCATAAACACACTGCTTTAGAGAAGAGTCAACACGAGAGCAAACGAATGACCCCTGAAAAGCACATTTCTGACACAAATGCGACACAACAAAACCCGCCTCCTTCCCAATGCCACACCGCACCAACCTCCCACGCAAATTGGCCAATCTCAAATGCCATATATGCACCCATGGGGAAAGAACCCCAACAACAACACTTCCCTTTCAGTGCGCGTACATGCCAAAGTGCACAAGTAAACCATTTTGCAACCCCCGTGAACACTCCCCTTCTGCCCAATGTGGGTGGAAAGCGTCATGAACCCCATTGACACTCCCACTTAACAACCCACATGCATGCAAAGAATGCTGTGACCCGCATCGATGCTCATTTTTTCGTTTTTTTTTTCGTTTTTTTTTTCTTTTTTTTTTAACACAGGCATTGCTGCTCCTTCAACCCCACTTGGTAGTCAGATTTTTTTTTTCCTCACTGTTTTAGTGCAAGTACACATTAACTGCTGGTAGTGTGGACAACTCTCACTCGACCACAGGCATGGGAAACCTTGCTCTTTGTCCCCTTCACCGCTTTGGACTTAGAAAATCGCTCAACTACTCCCGTCCGGACTCAAGCTCACGTCTACATCATCGGCCCCACATCTTGGACCTGCTACCATCCGACGGTCTGCCAACATTCTCAGGTGCAAACCTTCTATGTTCGAGTTCATTATCATTGGCAGAAGTGGATTGCTTACCGCGTGCCCTTTAAGGATACTTAAGGAGGATTCGTGAACTTCACCGTAGACTAAATAGCTTAACCATTTTCTGTTTTGCGTTCTTTTCACAAAGTACAAGCCCAGGGAGGCTGCTCGCCGCCTCTCTGCCCTGACCCAGCTGACGATCGGTTAACAAGCGATCAGCCGTCCTTGTGCACCGAACATCATGAGAGTATGGTCCACACACATCTTTGCTTCCACGACGGTAATGGTGATAACAGTCTCGTGTGTACTCTCACCCACACCACGCTCTCATGGCGTGTCGAATGCTTATATGACTGCAATCACCACACCTATGTGTCCTTAGCACGTGGAAGCCATGTTGGCTGTGATACCTATCTGCGCCACCCCTTGTGACACAGTAACCAATAGCTGCAAGGATCGATAGGCTGCTTAAACTGGCCAAACCTGAACCAGTCTTCCGAGGTTTGTGGGGCTGGCCACTCACCGTAGACCGTAGACAAAGTACCCTGTTCTTCCACTCATTTTTCTGAGAAACTCAACCCATGGCTGGCCACTGTTTTCATGCCAGTCCCTGGCAGTATGTTGCACCGGTGAGTAATCAGAATCTGTTCATACCCCCTTTCTCCATTCTTTCTCCTCCTCCACCCTTTTCCTTCTCTCCACTCTTTCTGTTCCCAATGCAGAGCTGCTGAATTCATATGAATGAGCATCACTAAGAGTAGGGAGAATAATGCAGAATATATACGGTGCAAGTATGCCGAAAGGCAGACGGGCTGTTGTGGGGGAAATTTAACACGCACACACACACACACACACACACACACACACACACACACACACATCACATTGGTGGCAAGTTAATTACTTCATGACTTGTTTTACACACACACACACACACACACACACACACACACACACACACACACACACACATCAAATTGGTGGAAAGTTAACTACTCCATGACTTGTTTCACTTATCTAAACTTCACACGCACCTTATTTAGCCGCCTAATACGGCCTTGTGAGGGCCCGCCTGTGGTTCCATGCAACTCGCCGATAACTTCAAATGGTTCTTCGGCAACGCGTTTGCCAGCCTCTTTGCAGGCAACCAGCCCTAGGGTCACCCCGAACAGAAGCGAGAACCAACACCACAAGCACATCCATGAGTACATGTCTGCCTTCAAAAGTGCACCACCGATCGGCATCATGGTTCAGTCATTGAGAAGTTCCACTGCCACCAACAGAATGCAATCAACATCAAACATTTTGCAGCGGCCACATAGAATCCATGACTGGCTTCACAGCAATAGAAAAAGCTGTCCAAGAGAAAAACAGCTTTGTATAATGAATACACAGTTGAAGTACTCTAAATAAAAGACTGCATACAAGTGAAGTCTGCCTTTGTCACTCAGCCCCATGCTTACTTCAATTTCTACCAGAAACTACTTAGTTCTATACTTAGCTCCATTTCTTCATCCCATAAAACTACTTAGTTATGTTACTTGGTTCCATATTTAGCTCCCTTTCTGTTATTTAGTTCCATATATAGCTCCATTTCTGTTACTTAGTTCCATATTTAGCTCCATTTCTTACTTAGTTCCATATTTGGCTCCATTTCTTGGCCCCATAAAACTTTCTTACTTAGTTCCATATTCAGCTCCATTTCCTGGCCCCATAAAGCTACTTAGTTCCATATTTAGCTCCATTGCTTGGCCCTATAAAACTAGTTAATTATGGTACTCAGTTCCATACTTAGCTCCATTTCTTGGTCCAACAGAACTACTTAGTTCTTTTACTTAGTTCCATATTTAGCTCCATTTCTTGGCCCAGTAAGACTTGGTTCTGTTACTTAGTTCCATACTTAGCTCCATTTCTTGCCCCCATAAAACTACTTAGTTCCATACTTAGCTCCATTTCTTTGCACAATAAAACTACTTCGTTCCATATTTAGCTCCATTTCTTGGCCTCTACTTCGTTCCATACTTAGCTCCATTCCTTGGCCCCACAATCGGCAACATTTCTTGGTCCCATAACTGCCTCCATTTCTACAAGTTTCTACAAGCCACTGTCAATGGAGCGGAAAGCCTCCCTCATGAGGAGGCTCTCGCTCAAACGTGGTGAAGTGGTTATCGTGAGGAATAAGCGATGGACACTCGGTAAGCAGAGAGCATGACGAACAGGAGCACAGAAGCTTCCCAACTCCGAACTCGGTGACAGTATATGATAGACTAAATGACAGAAGGAATGGCGAAAGGACAGGTCACACCAGGTATATGCCCATACGGACGGGAAGCCCCGGACCTACGGAACAGGACTGCGTGGGCAAGCCGATGATGGCCTGGATCGGAAGGCCGAGGAGCCTGGTGCCGCAAGGGCGGGCAAGGGGTACTGCTGTACTCCGAATCGAGGATAAGCCATCAAAAACACTCTCTCCTTCTACACCTGAGTTGGCTCATGTGGAATCAAAATCCACATTTGAATTCTTATTCTTCTTCTTGTTTTTTCAGCCTCTCACTTTGGTCACACTTTTTCTTCTCCGTTTTTCTTTAACAGGTTTGAATTATTCTTCTTACATTGAGGACTGAGTACCCATTGTCCATGAAGGACAGCAAACATGAACTTCAGTGTGCGCTTTGCACGCTTCCGAGTGTTTATGCCTGCTACAAGGTGCGTCACAGCAGGCGACCACTGTTTCACAAAGCCACTCCCTGTCACGGATGCAACTTTCAAGGCCAGCTCCTGCAATCCAAGACAGACAGACAGACAGACAGACATACATACAGACAGACAGACAGACAGACAGACAGATATAGAAACAGGCAGAGAAACTTAGAAAATCAAAGACCAGGCAAGAACACCCTTCCTGCGTTCCTAAGGTGCCAACATCAATTTTTTCCCATAGTACATCACTAGTCAATCTCCAAGCAACGGCATTAGCATCAAAACAAAAAAAGATGAAGCAATGCGAATTAAAAAAAAAAGAGAGGAAAAAAGCACTAGTGAACTATGTGGGGTCTATGCCTTATGGTTCTTCATTCTGCAATAAAGTACCGGTTAAAAAAAAAAAAAAAAAAAGAGCCTACAAGAGTGGCCCAAGACCACGTACCCTGTCGGGCCTAAAAAAGAAAAAAAAATCTAAGAAACGTTTTTCTCCAATTTGGGAAAGAATTTCGGTGTGGCCCTGAGACAAAAGTTGTTTAGTTTATAAACATTAATAAGGTGTACTAGATTATTCAGCACAACATAGTTTTTTAACTTTTTTTCAGATTTTTTTTTTTTTTTTTTTTTGGCCCTTCAAACTTCAAAGGGACCGTACATTATTCATGCAGTGCTTACTTCTTATCTTATCTTTCATTCTTATCTTATCCTACTCTTTCTCGTAATGCCTGCTCTTATAGGTGGGTTTGGAAACTGTTTTGTTCCTATTTTAATCGGACCGCCTGATATGCAATCAGACTCGCTTTCTTTTCCACTCTGCATACATGCAAACAGTTGGCGATTCACACTGGCGCTCAGCGCCCACACAAAGGCTCGGAGATATGGCAAACGAGAACACAGTTCAGAACTTCAGATGTAAACTCGCTTCAACAAGCTATGGCGCCTTAGCGCCTTCACAGAACAACTCTTGCCACTTCGTTCAACACCACTGTTCACATATACTCAACTCAACTCTGGATCACCCTGAATACCACCACACACACACACACATTAACCTACCGCGGCTATGGCCGCTCTACCCCTACTGACTATGGCTACGAGATCACTTTTCAGCCCACTTCGTCTTCGGGCAACCTGCAGACCACCTTCGAACAAGACGATGTAGCAGCGCTTCCGCATGGTTTACGCAGCGAATGAATGAATGGCTGGGCGCTGCCTCTTGATTTATATTTCTGTAACTCATTGGTCTGCCCCCACAGTCCCACACGGTACTTGCTTGACCGGACTCTGACTGACTGGGACCGGTACCGCTGACTGCATAGGTTTGCACTGCCAACTCGATGCAGTCGCACTGCCGACGTAACGCGGTTGGGCTCACCACTTGCCCACTTGCCTCTGACTAAACGTGGGACACTTCGAAAGGCCACTTCCGGGCCTTCCGGAAGTCTGTGGACGTGACCTTTCGGGTACTGTAGCAGCTACGACCTTGACCTTTCAGGACTGTAGCAGCTACAACCTTGACCTTTCAGAATACCTACAGCTACGACCTCTACAAAGCTGTGACTCCTAATCAACAGACCTACAGATCGAACCCCTACCACTACACAGACCTACGACAGATGACAAACAACTACCAAACACAGGTCACGGGTTCAAACACTCAGGTGTCGACTCGATACTGTACATGGGCAAAGTGAGGTCTGGGGATCGAAGTCTAGGGCCCGCATCTGTGACTGCAGAAAGGTGAAAACCGTTTCAGATATGACCTTTGCCCCGGTAGTGTGGTTGGTAGACCAGCTAGCGAGTCCTATTACATGGGCCTAACCTAAACCGCCACACTGTGCCAGAGTGAACTGGTTCAAATCCAAATCCAGGATGTTTTCTTTTTTGTGTGTGTGTGGCCCTTGCCCGGGTAGCGTGGTTGGTAGACCAGCTAGCGAGTCCTATTACATGGGCCTAACCTAAACCGCCACACTGTGCCAGAGTGAACTGGTTCAAATCCAAATCCAGGATGTTTTCTTTTTTGTGTGTGTGTGGCCCTTGCCCGGGTAGCGTGGTTGGTAGACCAGCTAGTGAATCATTCAACCACAAGGCAGCATTAATGACCTGTCATCCCACAGCTGGAGATATACTTGTTCCTGCACTTAACGGACTGTGAATCCGCAAGCAAACGCATTCCCATTTTTTAAAGAAAAGAGAGAGAGAGAAAAACGGATGAGAATCAAAGACAGGGACAAAACAAAGGGGGGGGGAAAAAACAGCCTATGTGCCTCAATGGCATGTAGTAAAAATAACACATGCACCTGTCAATAAACACTCAGCAGAGTTTCAAGCGTCTGTCAACACTTCCAGAAATCCGGTTGCGGAGAGGCCGCGCCCTCTGCGCCATCGATTCGTGACTGCCGCCCTTCAGTTCCTGCCTGGGTTGGTTTCCCTCACCGCCTACTACGGCAGCTCTGTCGACCTTCTCATTCTCGAGGGAAGCCAATCCCGTGATTGTATATTTGCCGGCGCTTCGTGCCTGGGTCGGTGGTGAGCTTGAATCTTTACAGAACCAAATGGATACAATACTGTCAGGGGCTAGCCCCTTGAAAAAGGGAAAAGCAGAAAAAGAAACAGTAGAAAAAGCAGCAGTGGTCTCTTCCCTGTTTTCTCTGGAATTGTGTTGCCCAACTTGCCCTAGGTTTCTTTGGCCCAATACCAGTTCTTTTTTTGGGAGGGGGGGTGTTGTAACCCCCCTCCACCCTTCCTCTGATCAATTACCCCGCTGCACCCCCAACCCCTCTGTCCTATCTTCCTACAGCTAATTGGCCAGTGTTCCTATGGCTTATGAGCTGTCCTTCAACCACTCATGGTAATCATCATCATAGCCATTATCATCGTCAACAGCAGCAGCAGCAGCAACATTTGCAACATCATAATCACAACCGCAACAGCCACCCACAATCAAACCAAGGAGGTTAACACTTCAAATCTCAAAACTCCGACGGGCCTAGCTCAGTTGGTACACCCATGAACTGTTGAAACTTGAAACACAGACCCAAGTTCACATCCAGATGCGATCAAATGGACAGAATAAAATCATTGTGAATACCTACGCCCGGTCAGATCTCAAACTGAACAAGCACAAGAACACTGGCAATTGGTTAAGGGAAGGGACAGGCCACAGAGCACAGAGCGGAGAGGAGGGTAAAATGCCAGGCAGTGGAAAAACACAGAAAGAGAGAGAGGCTTCACCTTTTCTTTGGGGTCCAGTCCGGAGCAACACAGAACAATGCTTTGGTCTGACTGCGATGGAGAGGAGACGGCTGCACCCAATGAGAGGGGTAATGACTGAGCAGAGACAAGTGACGCGTCTCGACATAGGCCCTTCTTGGCGCCTAAACCATCATCCCTACAGCACAGGCAACCGGATAAAGCAAAATAATTGGGTGCATTTAGGCCCCACGCCAACAACACAATACTCATCATGCCCCCTGTCCAATGAATGAGATTCATCCGAAGCATACTTGTCAAACACCTTCGCCATGCAGTGCACACGGTGCTGTGCCCAGATTGGTGATGCATGCACACCGCATGTTGTCTCCTGGAATGCATACAACCTACCTTTCAGATCAGATACAGTCTTTGTGAAGGTGTGTGGTGCTCGGAACAACTACTGTTTGAGAACATAATGGCCAGTTTTCGAGAAAACAATGCACCCTCATCAAGACTGTATCACACCTGAAAGGTGAAACCTGTATGCCTTCGAGGCTACAATGCGGCATCCTCGAAGAAGTTCACATATACCTTCCAGACCCGGGGGGGGGGGGGGGGGGGGGGGGGGGGGGGAACATCTTTAGGCCAGTTGGTGCAAAAAAAAAAAATCCAGGCCTTGGTGCAGTCCCAAATAAGGAGTTGCCCAATGTCACATCGCAATACTCATCCATCCCAAGACGTAACATAAAGACCGTACGGATTTCCAGATATTTCAATGAATAAGAGTTCTTTTAGGAAAGTGGTGTATAAGCCGAAGGCCACGGGGCTACCGCGCCCAGTTCAACTGTGGAGACAAAAGAAATACAAAATCCATTGATGGAATTTGATGCAGACCCTTGAATGAAAACTCCGCAGGCGTCCTCCCAGCATCATACACACTCCAGTTTAGCCCACATCTGCGGTGCCTGGAACATTATCAACCGGCACCGGTGAAACAAGGTGAGGGGTTAACAGACGCCACATCACGTCCGGGTGCCGAACAGGCTATTGTTTATTTGGAGAGTTATGTGTTAGCAATATACCACATATGCTTGCATGCCAGTTAAAAATAATGCCTACGCTTCCATTCCATGTCCATTCAAAATGCCAGAACTGTTTGTCAAATTTCAAGCCAAATTCCCTTGTCCAACTGGAGAATCATACGCCAAGAATGTTCTCCACGTAGTTTCATGAGCAAGGGAATGGAAAATATCTATGATTTGAAAATCTTGCAGAAAGGTTTACATCTACAACATCCTTACATTGAAAAGCAGGGCTAGTGTGACGCGGTGCCACAGGACACCACGAAGATGTGCTTGGCCCAGGAAGATGGCTCGCTCAGCAGCTGAAGATGCGGCCGAAAAGAAAATCAGCAAATTGCCCAGCAGGGCACAATTTGTCTTTGCCAATTGGGTCAAGCAGTTTGCACAGTATGGCACAAGGACAAAAAAGCACGGTGCAGTATGCATGACAGAGAGAGAGAGAGTCATATCGAGACAGAGAGACAGAGAGAGAGAGCCGTATTGAGGGGGTATCTAGAGAGAGAGAGTCATAACGAATGAGAAAGCGAAGTCATATCAGCTGGCCCAGTAGGTTTACGTACTGTTTATCATGTAATGAATCTAAGGATCAAATCTCTGCCACTGCTGGGCTAGCTCTTCTATGGAGGAAAAGACAAAAAGAGAGAGCAAGTTGTATCAGGCGAGACAGAGAGTCGTTGGAAGAGAGAGGGAGAGGGAGAGTCATAGCGAGAGAAAGGGAGAGAGAGAGTCGTATTGAGAGCGAGAGAGAGCAAGACAGTCATATTGAGAGAGAAACAGTGATAGAGAGAGATAGTGCCATATCCAGAGAGAGAGAGACTCATATCAAGAGAGGGGATCACAGAGAGAGAGAGAGAGAGAGAGAGAGACTCATATCAAGAGAGGGGATCACAGAGAGAGAGAGAGAGAGAGAGAGAGAGAGAGAGAGAGAGAGAGAGAGAGAGAGATGAGGCACTGTGCAGCACTAACCACAGAGAGAGAAAGAGAGAGTTATATCAAGGGAGAGCAAGTCAGATAGAGAGAGAGAGAGAGAGTCATAGCAAAAGAGTGGGAGAGAGAGGCAGAGAGCGATTTTTAGAGTATCTAGAGAGAGAGAGAGAGAGTCATATGAGGAGAGGGCAAGTCACATTGAGAGAGAGAGAGAGAGTCATAGCAAGAGAGTGGGAGAGGGGAAAGTGATATCTATCCAAACACATCGACATTGTTCTTAGTTTGAGCACGTCTGATCGTTGCATTGCCGTTCACTGCCCATCGCAATGGCATTGAGTAATTGCCTGTGACAATATGAGTGCCACACCTTTGAGATTTCTCCTTTCCCAAAAGCTGTCTAGTTCTATAGAAAGAAAGAAAAAGAACAAGGACTTACAGTTTGGTAGCCTCAACTTCTTGCAACCTCTTTCGCTTCGGAATACGCTCATCCTTCCCTTTTCTGGATGAAAGCTTTTCCTTCTCCTCCGACTCCCATGGGAAGCTCATGCTCCCATGCTCAGGGCAGTACATAACAAAGTGACTCTGACACACCACAGACATGATAAAGACCAAGCAAGCCAACAGATGCAGAGAGCCACATCAACGACAGGGTACGTATTAACGCTGCACTGCCCCCTCAAAAAGACTACATCACATCACTGCGGCACAGCCCCCTCGAAAAGACTACCTCACATTAACCTGTCATAAACCCCTAAAAAAGCCTACATCAAAACGAAAAGATAACACATCACCGTAGTTCTCCGTTCTTTCTTTTGTTTTTCAGAGAGTAGTTATGGAGCAATTACCTATGACAACTTCTTCAAATCCATTATGAATTCTCTTTTTTTTTTTTTGCGGAGCTTTTGATTACTGTTTTTTTTATATCCATGTGATTAACCAAGTATACTGATATTGACCGTATAATAAGACTATGTGTAAAATTTAGTCTTGGTTCAGTACACACACATATCCACTCTTCGGATTTTCTGAAAACATACAAAGATACAACTACTTCAGTCGATCTCGCACCCGCAAGAACTCCATCGCAATCTTCTCCTTCTCCACCACCTCCTCCTCCTTTTTCTTCCTTTTCCTCCTCCCATGCCAACTCCTCCTCCTCATCGACTCACCCTTCGTATCCTCCGTCTCCTTCTCCCCATCATCATTCTCCTCCTCCATCTCATCTTCCCTCTCTCATCACTAGGCGCATATTCACTGTTACTTAACCACCACTGTATGACGATCCTCCTTTTTCTTCCTTTTCCTCCTCCCACGCCAACTCCTATTCCTCATCAACTCACCCTCTGTGTCCTCCGTCTTCTTCTCCTCATCATCATTCTCCTCCTCCATCTCATCTTCCCTCTCTCATCACTAGGCGCATGGTCGACGATCCTCACCCAGCTGAAAATTCTTCAGAATTGACACAAATGAGCACTGAGTTATACAGCACCAGACATTGCCACGCACATCTGCGACCTCTAATGACGCTGAACTCACAATGCTCTAAGCCCAGTGTAGGGTTATGTAGCTAGAACAGCTCTGTGTTCTCATGACTACATTTCGAGCTTTCCTGTGCTCGGGTTTTCTTTCCCTTCTTTGTCTCTTTCCTACTCTATGGCAATGAACGAGCTTCATCGTTGTCTTTGGGCCTCGCTCCACTACTCACAAATTGTGCAAATTGAGAATGAATCTTCCACTAGAACATGGAAAAATACGTTTTCAGAGAGTGGGGGGGAGGGGGGGAGGGAAGAACATGGAAAAATACACCACCAACTTTTTTGTCTTTTGTGCATGTGGTGAGTAGTGGAGCAAGGACCTTTATCATATTTCAATGCGGTTTTGATCCAGTGCACAGTAGCACTTGGTAAGAGGAACACACACATGTGCAACCTCATTCGCTGGACTCGACCAACGAGTGTTTCTGACAGATCTGCAGGTCAAGATTTTCATTGGTCTGACACCACCCCCAAAGACCAAGCCCCATTCCATTTGGACAGAGAGCACAGACCATAAGTCAACACAAACCTTGTCGAAACGCGAGCCAGCGGAAGAAAACGCACACTCGTAATGGTAGCTCTTTGGGCATCTTTGAAGAAAACAACCAAGCGCTGCACCAGGTTTTGAACACAAAGCGCATCTGATCCTTCGGCTACGATTCACCTCTGCCTCCAGATTACAGAACTCATCACCCTTGTAGTACACATTTGGGGCCCTGTGCCAGCAAAACGATGCATGCGAAATCGCTTTCACTTTATGTGTCGAAATCATAAAAGGGCCAAACAAGAACAGACACAAACCCTTCCATCATGTTATCCAGCAAGGTTGCAATCATTGCCTTGTCAAATAATAATGGAAGTGCATGTACCATTGCAATCATTGTCTTGTCAAATAATAATGTAAGTGCATGTACCATCCAGCAAGAAGCAAGAAGCCGCGACTGACTACAGAACCAAAAACAGTACAGACCACTCAGGAAGAACAAAAGCAGAGGATCGAACCGGTGCCCGAGGTGGAATCTCAAAGCCCCAAAGTCTGCAAACAAGGCTTTGGGAACCTGGTACCCAAGCCAGGGGGTTACGAAGACTTTTATGCAGCAGCTCTACAATCAGATCCAAACCCAATCACAAATTAAGGATCATTTCCCCACCATTCTTTTCATGTTTGCCATCAAATTCTCTCTAGGCACAACAGAAGTGCAAATATGAATCAGTAACTTATCGAAAACTGCTATAAGCAAAAAGTGTCAGATAAGGGGACAAAAGAGAAGCAGCGTAAGAAGCAAGTGAGAGGAGAGAGAGAGAGAGAGAGAGAGAGAGAGAGCTGTCTCTTATACACATCTAGATGTGTATAAGAGACAGGAGAGAGAGAGAGAGAGAGAGAGAGAGAGAGAGAGAGAGATCCAAGTAGTGAACTCGACAATCAACATGGAGGTCAAATCACCCTAACCAGCTGCCTACTAGTGCCTACTAGCCATGGCGCTCAATTGAATGGGGCCTCTCTCAAGAGATCCCAGTTTAGCATGTTAGTTTTTACAGGTAATCCTGTTTAATCCTTGAGTTACAAGAATCACCATAGCCATGCCAGCAAAAGCATTCGAAGCTTGTGAATCTCCGGGGGGGGGGCTCTCTCAAGAGATCCCAGTTTAGCATGTTAGTTTTTACGGGTAATCCTGTTTAATCCTTGAGTGACAAGAATCACCATAGCCAGGCCCCCAAGAGCATTCGAAGCTTGTGAAGCTCCAGAGAAGGACTAGATTGGTGGAACAAAATTAATTTGAACATGTACCTGCCTTGTGACTGAAAGGTGCACATACACTCTGATGCAACTGATGATAAACAGGTCATGCATGGATTCACATCCCGACGGATCTAGATTCTATAACAATAGTCTCAGGGCTACTGCCCTCACACCAAAACAACAAGAAAGGAAGTGCGGCATGAGAGAGAAGTGTTCATTCATTTGGGTAGGGCCGCTGGACCTGACGGGTTATCAACATAATGCACAACACGTACCAGGTGGCACATAAGCGGTGCACATACACACCAGGGATGCCATGTTCGTCATCATCGCCATGTTTTGAAAACGATGAACGCCAACATTGCCTTGATGTTTTGTGAAAAAGCAAAGCGCCAGCAACCTGACAGCAAAAAAAAACAACATTTGCCACCAGCAGTTCAGAAACGGCGAGTCACTGAGTACAACTACATAACGAGTTCTCGAAGAAGGAAAAAAAAAAGACAAATGCTATGTGTTTCCACTTTGATCGCTTTTAAGTTTTAAGTTTTAACCCCATATAAGGGAACTGAAACGGGGACAAGGGTAGTGATGGAAAATGACAAACAAACGGGGGAAGGGAAAAATTGCAAGAGGCATCAATCTAATGTACCTGCACAAAAGGGTGCGGAAAAATGTGTTCAATTCAAAATCATCAGGACTTGTTCGCACCGCTACTCGCTGCGGTCGGACAGGTTCTGGAGTGCACAAGGGACCACGTTTGCTTATGTGGTTGGCACAGCTCACAGTCTGAGGTGGACGCCCTCAACCGAGAATAGTCTTCCACAGTGCGCACCGCATACATGAAGCCACAGAGAACGTGCCAATCAGCGAGTTGACATTCAGAGCAAAGGGTTCGCGGCCAGAGCAGAGTGATTGCAGGCCAGGGCAGGGAATCACAGTCAGGTCCTGATAAGGCAAAAACAGTGAATATGGGGGAAACGAAGTCTCAATATTCACATAACCCAACCTGACAAACCCCAAGCATACAGTTTTGTAAGGTAGGAAATGAAGGCTTGTATTGGACGATACTCTAGGCCTCTGAGATTGCCACTATTTATAGTCAGTAATATAGCCGAATGAATAACTAGGGTTCAGGGTCTTTTAGGTTCAAACAAGGTTCAGCTGGAATAGCTATGTCACGAGGTGGGCTTGGCACCTTAATGGAGGGGGTACGGGGGTTGAAGGGTTTTTTTTTTTTTTTTTTTTTTTTTTGGGGGGGGGGGGGGGGGGGGGGGGGGGGGGGGGAGACAGGGTAGAAGAGTTCACATAAGGGGACACAGTGCATCGCAGAAAGACAAGAAGAGAAGAACAAAAGCTCGCAGCAAAAGATCTGTAAGAACTTACAGGCGATTTCCCCGTTTGGCCACAGAACACACATGCTGGAGCTGCATCTTCACCAGCTTTGGCGGCAGTGCTACCGTTGCCGGATCGATGAACCCCTCCATTTTTGTCGCAAGCACTGTCCAAGGGAGCACCTCCCGGCCCTTTCCTTTCACCGCTTTGGCACAAAGCAGAGTCATTCTCACAATTAACCATGTTCTTACAACTTCCATGCTTTGCCTTCCCAGGTCTCAGTCGTTTTCCGGCACCCTTGACTGCAAGGGGTGGCTCCCTCTCTCTCTCTGCATTCCCAACCTTCTCTTCATCTCTCTTCTCCTGCATATCAGTGATGTCACCACTTGTGATTCCACCGCTGGCACATCTTCCACCCGACACTCCCTCACGAGCTCCAGTGGTTCTCAGAGAGCAACCCTGATCAAAATCGTCACGACGCATCACAGCACTTCTTCCGTTATCCTTTCCTTCTTTCTCCTTCTGCGGCCTCTGCGCCTCTGTATCCATTGCCATGCTCACAGTGTTTCTGTTATGCCCTTGCACTCCAGACGCGTCTCTACAATCGCCATCCCCTGTAGACTCCAGCATCTCACTCTGCTGGTTGCCAGGTGCACTGTTCTCAGAGCCTGCACCTCCACATCTGGACCTACGATTCATCCAGTTCTTAATTTTCCCAACCCGCCCACTGCTTTCCCATCGCTCTGCGTCTTTTCCACCAGCAGCTTCCGCCGGCATATTCTCGTCATCTGTCACGCAAGCATCTATGAAAGGCAGCTTCTTCTTCGCTTGAAGCCTTTCATCCCTTGCCACAAGTGTTTCATCCCTACACGACTCTTTTTCCTTCCGCTTCAGAAAGGTTTTGCTGACATTCTCCTCACTCTTCAATGGCGTCTGCAGGGAGGGCTGAGCTGCGCTCCTAGCTGCAATTGGTGACCGTCGCCCATTTCGCACAAGTGACTGAATTCTCTGCAACAATGAAAAGGCAAGCTGGCAGTCAATCCCAGAGCAATCAATGCTGTCCAGGGAACCTCCGGCCAACGGGAAGACGCGTGAGTGCGTAAGTGATGTATTTCTCTGACTTGCCGGAGGCAAAAAAAACGCACTGACGCTCCCCAGAATGAAAAAAAGGAGCGAGGATCATAAGATCCTGTTTTGGCCAAAAAAGAAAAAGAGAAGAAAAGAAAAGGAGGGAGGAAAAGGGAGACAGTGGGAGCTGCTTTGTCATCGACAGCAATGCACAGGTGCAAATGAATTGGACTGGGATTTGCAGATTCGTAGGCCGAAGGCAAGCGAGGTGCCGCCAGTGTCACTCTGTGCATAAACCCTGAAAAGGAGGAAAAGAGGACTTGTCCAGCAGCAGCCACTTCAGTTCGCCTAGAAATTTAACTCACGACTTTAATTGACACAAATCGTTTCACTGCAGCAATAACAGCACAGGGCGGAAATCGAACAACTACCCCCCACTCGTAAATACTCAAATCAGTGCCCTGCTACTGCTCCAGTATAACATTAAAAACATCAGATAATTCCCTCTCGACTCAAGTTCAATCCAATGACCTGTTCCTCGAGGCCAGCCTGTTCGTCCAACACAGCACCATTCGCGCATTCATAGAGAACCTCCCGATGCCGAAGGCCCAGTTTGTCTAGAACGGACACTGGGAGACTGAGAAAGACGTATAGACTCCCAATACCCGTGAACCACCACAACCCGCTGGCATCCGGGGAAACACATCGGTTAACAAGGGGGTCACTATTTTTATCTACCAGACCGTGTGCGCCTGGCTCAATGCGTTTTACTCACAAAAGAGTATCAAAGCATAGAAATGAGGTCCCAACCAGTGGAGGTTTAAGCACAACATCCCTCACAGTGCTCTCCTTTGTTTTCCCGCCAATAAGAGAGAGGAAGAAGAACACCCAATCGGCGCACTTCACCCACAAAAGGGGAGGAAAAAATAACATCCCTCACAGTGGTCCCCTTCCCCATTGCTAGGGGAGGAAAACATAACACCGCGTGGATGTACCATTAGCAAAAACAGCAGGTGAGGTAAGAGAGAGAGAGAGAGAGAGAGAGAAAGGGAGAGGGAAGGAGTACACAGAGAGAGGAAGAGAGAAGGGAACACAGAGAGAGGGAGAGAGAGAAGGGGACACAGAGAGAGTGAGGCAGAAGGGGACACCAAGAGATGGAGAGAGAAGGGGACACAGGGAGAAGGGAGAGGGAAGCGGACACAGAGAGAGAGAGAGGAGGGGACAGAGAACTTACAGCCTCCTTGCTGCCTCTAGATCCCATCATGCTGTTCAATGTAGTAACGCTCTTGAAGTGTGTTCCTGGCAATGGGTGTGTGAGAGGGACTTCAAGTTCCCCGCTCTCTGTATCGCTTGCATCTTCACTGGCCCAAAAGAGGGGTCTCGACGAACTCTTGGGACAGGGAGGACACACTCTCACACCGCTCATGAGAATTTCCCTTTCCCTCTCCTTCTCCCACTCTGCAACCGGATCCTCGGAAATTGCTGCATACTTCCGAGGCGAAGGACTTCGTTCCTGCTTCCTCCTTGCTCCCAGGACGCTTTCCTGCAGCTTTGCTGCGTCTGCCGAGGGGACGGCAGCGCGCTGATGTCCCACTTTCGGCTGCGCTTTTCCAGCAGGATGCCCTTCTAGTATCAAAGACCCCTTAGCATCAGTATCCCGATCTCCTATGTCCGGTTTGTCGTCTTCTCCCCAGTCCAGGGATCGTTGAGCAGAGGCCCTTCTCCCTTCCTCCCAAAGCCTCTCTCTCCCAATCCCTGTGTGCAGGTACCGTGACGACCTCGCAGGCGAATGCAAACTGCAGTTGACAGGCTCATCGCAATTGTCCGACCGCATCTTGGCATCGTCTTCTGCCAGCTCATCAGCCCCCTCATCGCTCTCCATTCCTTCCACCGTGTTATTAACACGCTTCACGCCAAGATTCGCTGGCCATCGACCCCTCTTTCTGGGAGGCATCACTGACCTGAAACTGGTAGAGCTCCGGTAAGGTGTGTCGGGACCACCGACACTAGTATTGCAGGGACGACGTTTCCACGGCGATCCTCTCTCGTCGTCCCGATCCTTCATCCACCGAAATCGGTGCTTCTCTTGAGAAACGGATCCTCCTGGGTAACAACCTTCCTTGGTCGTTGGATTTTGCATCCTCGCATCTGGGCTCTCCGGAATCACTGCATCCAATTGGGATAGAAAACAAAAATGGGCAGAACTCTTGATGGTGAGCAGCACAAAGACAAAGAAATGCATTCTCAAGTCATTGAGACTTTAACATTACCATTCATCGTAAACAAACGCCAAAAAAAAAGGACGGACAGAAGCACGTCGCCACTTCCGCTCACCCACCAGGAACCAAGGACATGAGTTCGATTCTGAACAAGCACATCAAGCACGATCAAACGCCATGAGCAGCGTAGACAGACACCGAATAGCATTCCAAATCTGTTGTCAAAGCGCTTGTTTTCTTAAACCCCCAGCAGTCCCATGGCCCCTGCACTCTTCAGTTTGCTTGTCTGCAAGTACCAGAGTGAAATCTACACTGCCCCCGGCCCAGTAGAAGTTTGGTGGGGAAGGGTCCGAAGGGTACCACAATTATGTTTCGTCACGAACCATTACCAGTGCCATGGCCCCTGCGCACTCTTCAGTTTTCTTGTCCGCAAGGAGCAGGGCAAAATCTACAAAGCCCGGCCCGGTAGAGGTTTGGGTATGGGGGAGAAGGGTACCACAATTATGTTTCCTCACAGCAGGGTTGTAGATTTTACGATCAGGGAAATGCAACTTAGGTGATTTGTCAAAACAGGTCGGGATGGAGTGGTGGTGGTCTAAATTGGGTTGTCACCGAGGCTACCAGCCGGGACGCCAGGGTCACCTCGTTTGCCCGGGCTGCCCGGCCGAGCAAGGACCATATAAGGCCCCAGTAAAAAAAAAGCAAAAAAAAAAAAAAGTGCAGAAAATTAAATCTCCGGGTAACATCGAAATTCTTTACCATATTCTTAAACCATAAAAAAAACGTTTATTTTTTTCTTTTTGGCCCGGCTGGGGCAAGTGGTCCCGGGCCAATATGGTAGCCTCCTGGGTTGTCGCTAACGGTTCCTTAGATCAGTTGGTACACCCTATGCAATCAAATGAACAGAATAAAATGATTAAAATCACTAGGAATTATCTCGGGCCGGTCAGTTTCATCAACTTTCATGATGATGATGATATCTTAAGACAGTCACCCTTTCAACCACCAGTACTTCCAAGGCACTTTTCTCTGGGGCTGGAAAGGCCCTGCGCGCCAAAGAACAACGAACCCGACCAGGCCGCCTCCTTTTGGCTGGCGCCGCCAGCCATTTTGCTACGGAGGCCGAGCCCCAAAACTTGTGCCGCCACGCAAGCCGCAACTTAAAAAAAAAAAAAAAAAAAAAAAAAAAGAAAAGAAATGAATAGCAGCAGTCTTCCCATTTTGGCTGGCAGCGCCAACTAGACACATCCG